TAAACAAACGATATTGTTAAGACATTCAATGTATCGGATGTTGTGATAGTGTTTAGTACAGATGTTATGAGCTTTCCATTAGTTTGTACTTGTTCACGTGTTTTAAATTCACTGCAAGTAGTAAATTCACTTTAAAACTACAGTATTTAAAAACAAGTTTTGAGTTTAACAAGCTGAACATTTAAGGAATATTCAGTTTGTGTTTGTTTCACTAGTAAATACCTTTTTTATGAGTTTGTGTCAAATGAATGCAAGTATTCATGAAAATGAGTGCTAACTATAATAATAATAATAAATTACATTAAATATTATTTTCATGACAATAGTTTGAATTATAATTACTTATTAATAGTGAATAAAGTTTCGAAATAATGCCTCAAAACTATGCGAAAGAATCTTTGGACAGATTTGGTGATGATTTGTGTCAACACATATTGAGTTATCTGTCATTTGAGGACCGATTCAGATATGAATGTCTGTCCAAACAATGGCAACAATTCATATATAAATCGCAATACAAACTTACAATTAGCCCTCAATTGCATAATGATTTGCCAACATTTGAATCGATGCTTAGAAAGTTAACCGTAGTTACGGAAATTGACTGCAAAGATAAGCCATTGAATAATAGGATGTTTGAAATGATTATCAAAAATTTGTGTCATTTAAACGCTATTAGCGTTAGGTTTGAGGAATCTATTAGTGTTGAAACTATTGATATGTTTTTCACTACATTTGCCAAACAATTGAAATCAATAGAAATAATCGGCAGTTATGAGCGCTATGTAAAGGATGCAATCGTTGAAGGCATGAAAATATGTCAAAATATGAGATATTTTAATACAAATTTTGGCGACACTTTTGCAACCCTCATAGGGCCCACTGTTTTAAAGGGTTTTGATATGTTATAAGTTTAGTTAATATTGCAGTTTCTAATGCTAGTTAAATTCGATAAAACACTATTGATATCTTTCAATAACTTTAGTTAAGTATACTTGTAGCTGACGTCTAAATAATAGAAGAAATTATTGAAAACAATATGGACTGGTTTATCACAAATGCATGAATTACGGGAACTACACCTCAACTTTATCATTAAATCCAATAATAATTGTTTCCCCGAAATTATCAATGGATTGACAAAAATGGGACTCAATTTACCGCATTTGAAACGCCTGTCCATCGTGTTTAGGCGCGACAACAATGAGTCTATAGATCGAAACAAATGTATATTATTACTGCAAACCATTAATATTGTGAAATTTGAGCATTCTGCAGATCTTTAAACACCTATATTACGGTTACTAAAGTATAATTGGCCGGTAACCAAACTCCTAAAGTTTTCTAATTGTGTAAACTTCTAACCAAAGTGTTAATTATCCCTGTTTTTCTCGAATATCGACAATTGTCTGCCAAATGTTCAGTACTTATGGCTTCAAGATGTTGAATGTAATTATGTATTTCCATTGAATTATGTGTCAAAACTACACAATATTCGGTGCATTAGAATCTTAAAAATTGATGAGAAAATAGATGTCAAGAATTGGATTGAAAAGTGTCCCAAAATACACACCATTCAAATCGGTGGCAATACCTACTAAACTTTTTATATTACTCTCACAATAAAATCTCATTTATTTGAACATGTTTTGGTCATTACTTATTGTTTTTTAAATCAATATTAAAATTATTTTTGATATCAATCTCGTAATTATTTGTTAATTCATAATTCTGTTATAATTCAAAGTTGTATTCATTTGATTTTAATCTGAATGTATGCCATAACCATAAATATAACAATTACTCAAACAATTAGTCTTTTATATAATAATAACTCAATATATGAGACTCACATTATGAGCTACATTTCAAAAACCATTAATCATGTGAAACACAACTTTTACTTGCCATAACCATAAATATAACAATTACTCAAACAATTAGTCTTTTATATAATAATAACTCAATATATGAGACTCACATTATGAGCTACATTTCAAAAACCATTAATCATGTGAAACACAACTTTTACTTTGGTTATGGGACTTGTCTTTAGCTTTGCTCCTTAATTATCTGTAATACTCTCATCAAATGTTTGTGATTTTATATTAATGTTTTGGTCATTTAATTCAATTACGGAAACATTTTTTAGAGTACTCTTGAGAGCATTCATTCATAATATTTAGCGCTAATTATATTTTTCATGAAATTTTGTTAATATATTATTTTTTACAGTGATATGAAATATTAAATGCAATTTATCATCTAAATTCTTATTCTTGAACTCTGTGAAAATTTTATTAATTTAAAATACAGTACAGTATATCACATCCAGGAACTATTGATTGTGAGCTCACAAGATTTAATTTTAGCTATGTAGGTTAAGTATCAATTTTACAAAAAATTAGCTAATGATAAAATGTAAAATATAAATATTATTAACACTATTATATTGAAATGTTATTTATTATTAATTCCAAGATAATATTTGTGTAGGAATATTATACCTGGTATAAATATAAATTTTTAGTGAATACTGTATTAGATTATATGAAATACTAAAACTTACAGATAATTAGAGTCGACATTTAGAGGTGGGCTGACTTTTGTCTGTCGATAATAGCTTTATTGTATTGTAACTTTTACTTTGGTTATGGGACTTGTCTTTAGCTTTGCTCCTTAATTATCTGTAATACTCTCATCAAATGTTTGTGATTTTATATTAATGTTTTGGTCATTTAATTCAATTACGGAAACATTTTTTTAGAGTACTCTTGAGAGCATTCATTCATAATATTTAGCGCTAATTATATTTTTCATGAAATTTTGTTAATATGTTATTTTTTACAGTGATATGAAATATTAAATGCAATTTATCATCTAAATTCTTATTCTTGAACTCTGTGAAAATTTTACTAATTTAAAATACAGTACAGTATATCACATCCAGGAACTATTGATTGTGAGCTCATAAGATTTCATTTTAGCTATGTAGGTTAAGTATCAATTTTACTAAAAATTAGCTGATGCTAAAAATGTAAAATATTAATATTATTAACACTATCATATTGAAATGTTACTTCTTATTAATTCCAAGCTAATATTTGTATAGAAATATTATACCGGGTATAAATATAAATTTTTAGTGAATACTGTATTAGATTATATGAAATACTAAAACTTACAGATAATTAGAGTCGACATTTAGAGGTGGGCTGACTTTTGTCTGTCGATAATAGCTTTATTGTATTGGATATAATTTATTGGATTTCATATTATATATCATATCTACACCATCTACTAATCAATTATTAGTAGACATTTATCTCAGACTGAGTTCATAGTAATCTACTAAATTGTGATCCAGAAACTTTGCTGGAGTTCCTCAGTTTATCTATTAGTTTCCCTGAGAAGTTGAGTAACCCTGAACAAAAGCATATTGAAAGTAGCATATTTGAAAATGGCACCGCTATCAAATTTAGTGAATATATAAGATTAACCTGACTAAATTATTAAATACCTATACTGGTAGAGTTGAATGCATATTACAAAACAACTTTTATTTTTAGGTAATTTCAAATTCAATGCAAAAATTGGATTATAATATAAATTAGAAAAAGGGTTCTCATTTGGATTATAATAATTTGATTGACAGAGTTGTGGCACCAGAAAAATATTTTCATCACTCAAGTCACTGAACATAACATAAATTGAGACAGAATTTGCATTTTATATATTATAATGAAATACTTTATGTGGAAAATATGAATATTATTATTGTTATAATTAATATAGAAATATAAAGTTATTCAATGCAAGCAATAAATGTTAAATAAAAATTTTATTTAAATTTATATTTCTAATACAAATTAGAATTTCTAACTTGAATATAAAATAAAAATATCAACTGTAAAAATGGTTCAAAAAAATATTTGACAATATTATTATACCGTATAACTACTATACATTTGAAATGGTTAAAAATATTGAATCAAAAATATTTGTTGTGAAGATTATGACATCCAATTTGTATTGTTACCCAACAATATCTAAATATTTATGTTATTCTCTAATAAAACTATATTTTCTGTATAAAACCTACAATTTTAATATAGTTTTTATGAAACATTGTCTTTCATTTAGCTATGATAATAAAAATTGCATGACTTTTGTTTCTACTATAAAATTGTATCAAAAAAGTGATAATACTGTGCTTTTTATAATAAATCTCTCTCTCTCTCTCTCTCTCTCTCTCTCTCTCTCGTATTGTATTCAACCTTAAACTAAAAGACATTTAAAACAATTTAATCTTTTCTTTATTATTGTGTTCAGCGTTGAATTAAATATCACACCAAAAATATGCAAAAGTCTTAATTATTTTCAATATTATAGAGAAGCTCTTTGTATGGGATTTAATATATTCTGTAATTCAATGATAACGTCAGTTGTAATTGAAAATTAGAGACAAGGAGTCAATCATTTTTGGGATTAATTTTCTATTATGACTTTCACTGCAAATCAATTGCAAAGAATACATTTATAAAAATATTGCACAAATCTAATGGGAATTATTGTAATTAGTTGCATATAGACTCTGATAATTAATTGATAAGCTACCTGTGCCCACTAATAAATAAGTTGCGCTCTGGCATTCTGGTTGAGTTAATATTGCTTTTGACCACTTCTTTCATATAATTTGCTATAATTTGTGGCATTTGTAGAGTCGAGTCAAACGTTGTTTCAAAGAGTCAATAATCTTGAGTTGTGTTGAGATATAATAGTATTGTGTCTGTTATGCCGTTCCTCTCATTCAATAACATTATACACTGTAGTGAAAGCCTGAGCACAGGGAGCATAGAGAGCACAGAATATGTGTTTCCTTTCACTTTCTCCATACGATTCCACTATAACTGCGGATAGACTCGTCTCGCACTCCGCGAAGCCCTACGATTCGTGGGAATAGGAGGTGGCGATCCGAGTGTATATACGCTATCATAGCAATGGTGGTAAGAGTGCCGGCGAGACAATGCTCTACTCACTCGAGTGGTGGTTATCACTTCAACAGTGAGACTCCAGTCCTGTTAATGAACGACCAGTTCTGCACACATGAACGCCGAGCCCTGTCCACCGCCGCCCCCGACGTTGTCTGTATTGCGAGAAAAGGTCCGACACATCCTTCTCTCAAACATGTTGTGTTGCGGACGTAAAAAGGTTTGACCACTTCCTCCACTTCTCACACATACTTCACTTGTTTTTATTAAATTGTCTTAAATTTAATTTTTACGTAAATTCTGTAAAACTTTTTAAATGTACAAATGCCTCGTTAATGGCAAACATTTATTAATAATATAATAAGTTAACAACATATCAACGGAAACACTATTTATTTATAAAATGTTTATTTATTGATATAAGTAATGAATTGATAATTTGTGATCATTTGACAGGAATCACGAGATGTGAGGGGACAGCATATAATAGGCGAAGGCAGTTCCAGTGCCTACTCCGGGCTCGCACACCATCACCACCACCAACAGCCAGTCAATGCACAGCACTTCAGGAAAGCCGTTCCGATTCCCAGCGCTTACCACAGCCAACAGTTGCCGTTGAGGTCACGTATGCCCGAAATGGTGGTTCAATCGGACTTCCGGAAAGTCAGTGGAATTACATCCGAAGTGTTCCGTCAGATAGAGGCCGTCGAGAATGACTTCGACTCCACGACTGCCGCATACTTCGAGTCCGTCGAGAAGAGGGGAGAAATGGTTATACGTCTCCTCAACCCTCAGACACTGGGCAGGGCTGGTGTGGAGGCCAGCCGTAGGTACGCCACCTCTACGGGCACTCACGGCGCCCACACCAGCGCACAGTTCGTCGAAATCATCAAAAGGCCGGGACAGACATTGGGGTTATATATACGTGAAGGCGACGGATACCGGTGTAGTGATGGTGTGTTTATATCGCGTATAGCACTGGAAAGTGCTGTTTATAACAGTGGACTTCTCAAAGTGGGGGACGAGATCTTAGCCGTCAATTTAGTGGATGTGCGCCGAATGTCTTTAGACGATGTGGTCATCATTATGTCTATTCCCAGACGACTTGTGCTAACCATCCGTTCCCACATCTATTCGGGCAGTCAGTCGGCAATAATGGCCAGAAAGTCGATGAGTAACGACTACCGGAACCCTCCGGTGGTTGTCGTCAAGAGAGAGGTGGAGGACGAGCCGTACGACGAGGGGAACAGTCAGAGGGACAGTGAGAACGGGCACCTAATGCAGGCCAGACTCAAGGGACTGCCCGACAATATTCCAGCCATGGCTGTGCCTTTGGATGGCCAACACTACAGGGCATTACCTCCACGTCCGGGAACAGTAGAAGATCAGGTGCTTTACTACAACACCCCTCCCACGCAATTGAGAACTTCTATGTCCGGAATATATCCGATGCAATCGAGAGATGACTTGTGGAGCGACCAGAGGGCCGGTGTGTCGCGCACCCGACCCTATGGTATAGTCACTCAACAGCCAAATGTGTTGCGCAGACAATACCCGAGAACTATTGACAACTTGTCAGCTCAGGTGCACCAGTACTACAGCTCCGGATACTCATCAGATGTGCCACAATCCTCGCGCCGCAGCGGATCCATGGGTGTGACCCGGGCTGCTGTCCACAGACCTCCCTCTACGGGTCGCCAACGCTATTGGGAAGAGTACGCGTTGGCCGGAAGTGCACCTAATAGTGGATCCCTTAGAGGGCATCGACTCTTAAGAACAGAGAGCGATCACGGAATACCTCCCACAATGTCCGATGACTTCCTCGATAGATATCTGCGGCCATTGAGTAGAACCAGTGCTTCGCCCGGATATCCATCGATGGCTTCTATGCAAGACTTGAAACAAAGACGAATCGATGAGTTAAGGAACTCCTCATCAAATCAGGCCATCAATAGTATATTAAGGAGACGCCAGTACTTTGATGGAAGTGCTTCGGACACTGAGACCAGCTCTCCCTCTCACTATCTGCTGAGGCAACGAAGTTTGGGACCGTATTCACGAATGGTTAGAGGAGGGGGAGGTTCGAGGGACTCATTCCAACTCAGAAGCAGTTCATTGCCCCGAACCCGACCCGTCTCATCCGAATACCAGTACTTCTCAGGAACCCCTCCCTCACGACGAGTTTCCAGACAGACGGTGCGCTTTGAAAGGCCCCCTCTTGGCTACGACGAGGACAGCGACGGCGCCGCCTCAGCACCTGAATTACCGGCCACTCGGCCACGAAGAATAGGTCTCTATTGATTATTAATCATTTTTTATTCACAAATAATTACCATAACCTCCAAATTGATAGCACGACGAATGACATCTCCAAATCCCAACTACTCATCCGATGAATACCAGCAATGGATGGTGAGAGCGCCGTCTACTTCGGCTATCTATGAAAGCGTCCGCAAAGGGAAGATTATGGAGAGAAGTCCTCTGAGCTCTCATAGCATCAGTCGAATCGCTCACTCGGCTGAGAGTCTGCTCGACACCATCCGATCGGTCGGTTTCAACAATTCACACAATATTCACGTTTGGAAATACAAAAACTTTTCATACAATTATTTGCAACTAATTTCATCTAATTATCACACTTTAGGAACAAAAGCGAACACTTTTGGCCGATTTATATGCAAGTCGTGCGGCCATTACGGGCAAGACATCAATGCTGCCAATGAGTCGCGAAGAATCCAACCGATTGTTAGGCAAACCCTCACTAAATCCGTTTACAATGGATTACTTGCGCGGATCCATACCTAACCCGACGCCAGTGAAAGCCAGTGAGGATTCACGGCTACACCTGTTGTCACTAAATCCGCGCGAATTCTTCAAATACAGACCGGAGAAGCCGGAGCGAGGCCTACAAAGTGAGGGATTCAGTGGTTTAGTGAATGTGCATCTGTTGGCGGGTCGGGGTCTACGGGCCAGTACGGGACACGTGAGTGAACACTACCGGGACGTGTATTGTGTCATAGAGTGTGATCGCATACATAAGGCCCGGACAGTCGTCCGAAGCGGTGAACAGAGCTTCGATTGGGACGAAGTGTTTGATTTAGACTTATTTGACACCAAAGAGATTGCATTCCTGTTATACACATGGGATCCACAGTTCAGACACAAGTTGTGCTACAAAGGAGTCCTTCATTTGTCTGCCCTATCACTCAATGAGACGCCGGCCCACAGTCTGGCCTTAAAGATGGAGCCGAGAGGGACGCTATATGTGAAGCTTAGGTACAAAGACCTGTCGTCAGCATTCCAGAGGCCAACCGTCACACCCAGTGGTCAGTCAGTGAACGCCATATTCGGTGTAGACGCCGAAAGTGTTGTGAATCGCGAGAATTCCGGACTAAATGTACCCTTAATTGTGAAGCGATGTGTCGATGAGATCGAGAAACGCGGACTCGATTTGGTCGGCATTTACCGACTTTGCGGGTCTTCTGTCCGCAAGAAAATGCTTAGAGAAGGCTTCGAGAAGAACGCCTGGCTTTGCGACCTCAGCCACGAACACGTCCCAGACATCAATGTCATCGCCAGTGAGTCTCTCTCTCTCTCTCTCTCTCTCTCTCTCTCTCTCTCTCTCTCTCTCTCTCTGATTTATTTATTTATTGNTCTCTCTCTCTCTCTCTCTCTCTCTCTCTCTGATTTATTTATTTATTGGTTTATACAAACTTAAATAATGTTTATATTATATTATAAACTTAAACAAATATTGCAAACATTTTGTGTTAAAACTAAATTCATTTGAAGCAATCAATTGCAAGATTTTATTACTAAACGAGTTCTTCAAATATTCTTCTCGGGTGTCATTCATTCATCTTTGTCTGTAAACAGATAATTGTAATCAATGCAAAACATAATAAAGTATCCAAAAAGTATAATTTAATTGTGAAATAAAATTATTTCACACTAAATTAATTTGAAACATTTAAATACTATAAGTTATAACAAACTCAACCCAATTTAAAGTTAAAACTGCATTCAACGAGTGCTACTAAATCTGCTCCTATTATTCACATCTAAATGTGAATATATATGACTTTGTCATTGAAATAGCGTCTATTTAATAGACTGAAAGTTGATGTTCAGTTCACTAGTAGACCAAGTACACATGACAGGCTTTTATAATTTATAGACTATTCTAACATGAATAACTTATTTTGCTACTTACCTGCATATCTACTCAACTCTCATTTGTCATCAAATTCTAAACTAATTTTATTATTTTGAAAGTTTTATACCAAACTAAAATTAATTAGAAAATAATTTTTAACATTGAGTTGTGTTTTAAAATATTATAACATTCAGGGTTAGGATAAAACTGTTTACTAGCTAATTATATCAATATTTTAATATTCTTGTTGATTATATTCTTATAATAAGAATATTAAACTTGTTGTTAGTGAGTATACTTTCTAATTATTAATAAAAAAATATGACAAAATTACAATGATTTAAAAGTTTTAAACTTTCACATTTATTCACATTAGTAAGTTTTACTTTATAAATGGTCTTATTATATCAAGTGTTTATAAGAAATGTTGAATTTGACTAATTTTAACATTTAATTCCGGATATTCTACTCAATTATGAGTTGATATGCTACTCAACATAATCAGAAAGAAATATAAAAGTGGAATAATTCATTGAAATGCATTAATTTGAAATTTTTGGTTTGTTATAAAGTTGACATTTTCACATTGTATATATACCGGTACACTTTTTTGGCATATAAGACCAACTTTATTACAATTTTTGTTCACTCTGTTTCCAATGTTTTAACTATAAGCCGTTTTTAATACATCAAATCTTTAAACATTATTGAAAGTGTTTTATTAATATAAGTTTTCAAAGTTTGTTAGAGCATTGTATGTCTCTAACTTAGTTGAGACTTTTCAATTTATTAAGTTAAATAATAATTGTATATATAAACGAGATTAATTGAATTTTAAAATGAGCAAACTCTCGAAAGACAAACTTGTGGACCGGGGGGCACAGTTCACTTCGCATATAAGCTTTGCTCCGATGAGACCCCGGGCCAACACGTATCCCCGGCTGTCATTCACCGATAATTCGTTTGGCGATCCCTTTGCTGTCGGTGACCACCACTTCAACTGTGCCGATGATCACGATAGCGATAACGAGTCGGACAACACCTTCTATTCACCCAGAAATAGGAAGAGCGATGCGATTGCCAATTACAAGCTGTCTGTCCCTAAGCCGACCCCTCTTCTTAAACACAAGACGAATGATTCAATGGGCGACTCGCCTATGACTCCATTCAAAAGCCCCGAAACCCCGTCCCCTCTGGTCAGTCCCCTATACTATAACTATATGAGGAGCGGCTCAATGACACCCAACCAACTCTTTGCGGGCATGTCGTCACCGTTGGTGAGCCCGTACTCCGTAATCCCGGTGCGATCTATTATGAATTACGGCAATATGTTGA